TTTTTCTTCCCCTATTCCTCTTTTCTTTCCCCTTCTCGATTCTCATCACAAGAAAGGAAAAGAAAATCACTCCTTCCAACATCCACAATATGAGGCGGCTGCGCAATTCTTCCCTCCATCTCCCAAGTACAAACATACTCTCTGACCTCTCATCCTCACCACCTCACCACCCCACCTCCTGCGTTCTCTTGAGTGTGTCCGCTTCTAGTCATCCCGACTTGCAGCCCATAGATAGAGGGTCAAGGTGCAGAAGCTGCCGCTATAGGCCGCTCTGAAGGGACGACAAAAGTTGCACCAAGTCTGGGAGTGACAAGACGGCGTTTCACAACAAGTAAAAAATAAGATACAAAAAGCTGGAACAGGCAAATTGTGGTATGCAATTTCGTTGCGTGACAAAGACAAATTGCGGTAAATCACAAAAAAAGATTGGAAAACAAGATCTGGGGTTTCAACCGGATTGCGATGGATGATGCTTGTTTTCGCGAGGGGACGTAAATGGCTGCGTAACTAAAAACATATTTTTTTCGAGATTATTTTTATTTTTTTAAGATGTGTTTATTTGGTACGGGTTTCGAAGTAACGGAGTCATCACGATTGGCAATTACGATTTGAAACTCGATCGATTTTTGGGGGGTTGGGGGGGGACCAAGAATGGGAAGATACCTAAAGTATCCGGTTTTGCAACAAGAAGAATTTGGCGATTCGCTGTAGAGTGACATTTTCCGCGTAAAAGCCGGGTTCGTGGAAATGCAGAGGAAAAAAGCAGTACGGTGACGCTGGGTGGATTCATGCTGGCAACGTGCTTGTTGGCTTCAAATGCTAGGATGAATCGATGGAAAGTAGCGTCGTTTATTATCCGATGCCAGAGTTGGGAAAAACTAGTCAAAACAGAACAGGAAGAAGATAAAACAAATTACCAAACAATATGGGTGAGCGAACTGAATGTTTAAAAGTTTGTCGTCAAAATTATTGTTTCAAGTCACAAGAGACAGCGGGCATGCGGGCATGACAATTTTTTTCGCTTCGTATATGATTCTCATCTTTAACCAATTTGGATGACAAAAGATAACTAACCCTGGAAGACGTTACTTTCATCAAGGTCATGGGTAAATGATACAAGGGAGCGAGGGTTGAGGTGTTGAGACGGATCTAATGTTTCCGCAATCCATCTGTCAACAACGGTGCGCGCTAGGATGTGGAGGACGAAGTTGACAATTTATCAACCACCAAAGAGCGAGTTAATCATCTGTGGGAGACGTAGTGTGGGCGGCGGGCCATTGGGCGGGCTTCGCGATATTCCTCCTCCGAGTCGCTGGAGCAGATATCAGAATTGGAAGCGGGAGATTTGGTTCCACAGCGGCTACCTCCACAATCGATCTTGACGCGATCTCCCTTACGGGTGATTCCGTATCGCTCGCAGCTGCAAATGGAGCTATTGTCGCTCAAGGAAGAGATAGACGATGGCGACGAGCTATCTGAGCGAGTAGAGATCGAAGATCCAGTCGACGAGGGCGGGCTAGAGGAGAGATCCGAATCGGAATCGGACATATCGACACGGCCAAAGCGTCTGGTGAGTTCGCTGACGGTAGGCGGTGGGGAGTAGCGGGGATCCCGAATTTGGCGAGAAGCGTAAGGCTTGGAAGGCTTCGGGGAGAGGATCTTGGAAGGCGAAAGAGCGCGGCCTTTGATTGGTCCAGCGTGGGAATGTCTGTGGGAAGAGTTGGTGCTGCTGCGGGCTCCACTGGGAACATCTAGGATGTTGAGCTTGCGGCCAGTGGTGGGTTCAACAGTGTATTCCGCAGTTGGGTCATGAGAGACATGGTAGCCGTCCATGATGTACTGTTCAGAAAGTAAGAAAGAATCCAAGTCAAAGTTATAAACCACTAAGGGGCAATTCATGATTCTCTTTTACTCACGTAGTACCAGTATCGCTGTCCCAGTTGGAGAGAATTGCCCTGGAAACGGAAAGTCCCCTTCCATGAGCCGGGTTTGGCGGAGGCATCCTGGGAGAGTGGGAGCTGACCCGCGTAGTTATCCCACGAACCGAGGAGATGGATAGTCTTGACATTGGGAGAGGTGCGGATGGAGAAACTGAGTTGCACGGCGGCCATTTTTTCTTGAATAACTTCCGAATATTAAGTATATTACAATGTAAAAAGTGATGGTTGTAATGAAGGTAATGGAGTTTGTAAATATATTAGTGAATGGGGTGTGGTAAAAAGATAAAAAATAATAATGATAAGAAATTATATGTATTTTAAAAGAATTGAATATATCAGGGAGCAGTTATATTCTATCGAAGCCAGAAGGACTACCAGAGTCGCTTTCGGAAATTGTGATCGATAAAATAGAGCGGACGGGTCTCGAAAGTAAGGACGTTGAAAAGAAGAAGCTATTAAACAATGACGTCGACCGGCGACGAACAATGCGATATCAAGTTGGAGGATTGAATTAATCAAGAGGTACCGGAAGCAAGAAGCACAGCTCCTTGTGAATGTGATTGCGCGAGAAGAAGTAGACAACGAAAAGACACAACAGGAAATTAGGCACCTCAAAATTAAAGGAATAGCTCTTCAGAAGACAAACAAGACCTGCTGAGGAAAAGAAAAGAAGAAAAAGAAGAGAAGGGAGAGAGAATGAGGAGGAAGAGCAGGAGGTTATATGGGCAGCAGAGCAACAAACACCGTTTGGGGCGGCCCAGCAGAGGGGAAGTCCAAAAATAGAACCTGCATATCGGCTAACCTGTCCAACTTTGTTTTGTCGACCTCGCTGACATAATCAACCGGGCGGGTAGCCAGGCCTTATCATTGGCCCACATCGGCAAGTGGGGTTGATGGCGCCGATCAACGACGACAGAATCCTCCAATGGCAGGGCGCCATGGATCTTCGGCAAACCAGCAGCTGCCGAACCCCAACAGTCAAACAAAAGCCCGGCCAGTCAGCCTGCATCCGCTGCCACTCACTTCTTCTCCTCTTGCTTTAGTCGTTGATGGCGAGAGGCATGGGCCACATTAGCCCTAGTTCTGCTGCATGAAAAACTGTCCATCCAACCTTGGGAATCGCATCACACCACATCAATCACATCCCGCTAGTCCTAATTTGGGTCTGAATAAACCTGCTTCTTCACTAGTCCTGTGCATGTTATACAATGATTGTGGGAATTTCCCAGCAGGATGGAGATCTTGGCTGATGACCGTGGGGACTCGTGGGGCTCAAACTCCGCTGGCGGTTAGAAGCAGCATTCCTGCCTCAATAACGAAGCCAATTTAACGTGTCAACCTGTCATAAGAGCTCCCTTCCAGCCGTTTTTTATGAATTCTTAAGGTGCAACAAATGCCAGCGCGTGGAGTTGGGCAAGAACTTGGTCTGGAACAGGCCAAATCTCTCTTGTGTTTGATGCATCAACATATGTCATCGAGCAGTTTTGCGATACCACTTGATGGATGGATACCTCTTGCGAGTCCAAACTGATCCAAAAAGCAACAGACTGAAGCAGCACATCCCATGCAATGGCTCCAGCAAGAACATCTTGCCATCTCCAATAACCTTCATCACTTGCTGACAACCCACCATAACCGACAAATTCCGTTCGCCAAACTTGTAGTTTTTGGACGGTCAACAAAATAATTGGTTCATCAAGACTCAGCACGGCTTGGTATCAAGTGCCAAATCACCTGCTATGCTCATGCGAAGTGAGAACCGTCTTCCAGGCTTCAAACTAAATGAGACCAAACTTGGCCCCCCAAAACTGTCGAAATACCTGCCTTCCTTCCACGCTCTTGCTTCGTAAAAAGGTCATAACCTTCCTCGCAGACGTGCAAAACGTGGTTGCCTTTTGGGGCTAAATTGTTGTCGCTCAACGGATGAATGAACATGGTG